AGTTGAATGGTCCTTTCTTCTGGCGGTTTTGGAAAAAATGGGTTTTAGCTCTGCCTGGCGAGGGTGGATTCGGGAATGTTTACAGTCAACTTCTTTTTCGGTACTCGTTAATGGGTCTCCTTCTGGTTTCTTTGCCCCCTCTTTCTCCCTTACTGTTTGTGCTTTGCACAGAGGGGTTTGTTGCTTTACTCCGCAAAGCCATCTCGGATAAGAGGCTGGTAGGGGTTAAGGTAGCACCCCGGGCTCCGCGCATATCTCATTTGTTCTTTGCTGATGATTCTTACTTGTTCCTCCGTGGTTCCCTACAGGAGTGTGAGAATCTGATCGAAGTGCTAAATGAATATGAGGAGCTCAGTGGTCAAAGGGTGAATTTGGAGAAGTCGGCGGTGTGTTTTAGTAAGAACATTACCTTGCCGGACCAGGAGTTCTTGGCGGCGATCCTAGGCGTGGGCGCAGTAGGGGTTCAAGATAAGTATCTTGGTCTCCCCACTTTGATATCGAGATCCAAGACGGCTACGTTCCGGTACCTGGAGGAGAAGCTACTAGAACGTCTTCAAGGATGGAAGCGGAGGACTCTTTCCTCGGCAGCTAAAGAAACTCTGATTTAATCTATTGCTCTAGCTCTGCCGCTCCATGTGATGTCATGTTTTCGTCTGCCACTATCTCTCTGTCGTCTCCTGGACAAGCATGTGGCTCGATTCGGGAGGGGGTTGAGAAGGGACGCTCGAGGGTCCGGTGGGTATCCTAGAGGAACATGTGTAGAAGTAAACATGAGGGAGGCATGGGTTTTCGTCGATTCGAGCATTTTAATCAAGCGCTGCTTGCGAAGATAGGATGGCGAATCCTTAATGAACCCCAGTCCCTCTTAGCCCAGGTTTATAAAGGGAAATACTTCCCACGGGGATCTTTCCTTTCAGCCACGACTCGTTCTCGCCCTTCCTGGGGATGGCAAAGTATTCTGTATGGGCGTCAGTTATTGTCGACGGGGTTACGCTGGCAGATTGGTAACGGCCAGTCAGTTCCCTTGCTTGACTCAAACTGGATTACGCAACAACACCCCTTACCCCCGGTCTATAATCCGCGGGTCCTGCCTGAGGGAGGGGATTTAACGGTCTCTGCTGTCATCTGCCCAGGGGAAGTTCGGTGGTGCGAGGATAAGCTTAAACATTGGTTTGATCCTCCGACATGCCAGGCTATTCTGGCCATGCCCTTACCACGGCGGAACGTCGAAGATCGGCTGATCTAGCATGCTACTGTGGATGGTCTCTTCTCTGTTAAGTCGGTCTATCACTTAGCAGTTCGTCTGGATCAGTTGAATGGGCGGTGGCGGGCGCAGGTTAGTTGGATGCACAAATCTAGTTGGATACGTCTCTGGGATGCCAACATTCCTCCGAAATTGAAGATATTTGCCTGGAAACTTTTGAGCAGAATTCTGCCGACTACTGAGGCGCTAATCGAGCGGAAAGTTGAAGTCCTTTCCCGGTGTCCTGTGTGTTGGGCTCCATCGGAAACGATGGAGCACTTGTTCCTTGATTGCCCGGTGGCCAGGGCCTTGTGGATTCAGTCTGGTCTAGATCATCTTGGTGAAGGATTGCCTCGGCATACTTTCCCTCTGTTCCTGAAGAAGTTGTTGGCTATCTTGCAGCACCCCTCGCAGTTCATGGGAGTAATTGCTATCCTATGGAGGATTGGGCGGTCCCGGAATTGGGTGGTCTTTGAAGGAAAGCAGTTTGGTATCCTTGCTCTGATGAGGCAGTATCACCAATAGGTAGGGGAATGGTTGAGCTTACCTAACTATCCCCGGCCTCCCTCGTTGTCTCCTCCTAGCACTAGTGCGGTGGGTTTAGGTGCAGCAAGGGGGCCTGTGTGTCGTTGGGATGGAGCAGTCTGTTTAGGGTCGCACTTTGCGGGAGGATTTGTGCTCCTTAATGAGGCAGGGGAGATCATTTGGGCTGCTGGTGTTCAGTTCCCTCTGCTGGAGGACCCAATGGTGGCAGAAATACTTACCCTCCGCGAAGCAATCCGGTTGTGTATAGTGCAGGGTTTTGTGTCAATGAGATTTGAAGGGGACGCCAAAGTGATCATTGAGAAGCTTGACCAGGGTGATGTGCGGGATAGTCGGGTTGGGGCTATTTTAGAGGAGATTCTTCATATGTTTACGATTTATCCAGGCTTCACTGTACGATTTGTAGGTCGGGGTAGCAATATGGTAGCTCACATTGTAGCTAGACAGGCCCTGTCTTTGTTCCCGACTACGTGTCGTTATTTTGACTTTCAGGCCTGGCTGAATTCGAGGTTTTTATTATCGATTTGTTTCTATCAATACAAGATATCTTTTGTAAAAAAAAAAAAAAAGAATCGAACCAGTAACATTTCCCTCACATCTAATGTTAATTGAGCCTTAATACAACTACAGCAGAATACATACAATGTGTTACCTATTAATGATTTTAACTATTTCTAAAACTTAGGAGGGGCATGCCCCCCCCCCCCCCCCAAGTACAAGCTGGATCCGTCCCTGCGGGAAGGGCGCTTACGTCTACAAGGCCTTCTTCATCTCCACGGGAACAATCACTGCCGCCAAGAGTTCCAGACACTCTCACGTAGAAGGGAACAAAGAGTTCGTCGCAGTCGCCGAGCTTACTGTCATTTTCGGCCTCCACCATAGCCCACAAGAACCGGAACGCGTTAGGGTGATTACTAAAATCTACACCCTTCATTATCTCTATTTCACCATAATTTTGATTTGACGGTGAAGATTAGATTAAGGGTAATTTTGAGAATAAATAAATATCACACCTGATTTTTATCCTTTAAAAAATTAATTTCTATATATTATATACTTAAATCTTACTCCAACCTCATTCTTTATCGTCGTCAATACACATCTCTTATTGGTGGTTCCCTTCCTCTGCTGGTGGCCACCCTCGGTCAACCTCCTACTGCCGGCGGCCACCCACCACTTCGGCTACCCTCGCCCACCGCTGCGGGCACCCTCTTCCTTCTCTCTCTCTCTCTCTCTCTCTCTCTCTCTCTCTCTCTCTCTCTCTCTCTCTCCGCCCTCTATCTCTCGCTACCCCTCTCTCTATATGCCCTCTGTCTCTCGCTGCCTCTCTCTTTGGGAGACGATTGTGGCCGGAAAAGGTGGGATGAATAAAAACCCTAGATCTGATTTTTTCCGCATTAGTAGTGATTTTTTCGCAGTGGTAGTTTTATTTGCATTGGTATTGTTTTTCCCCGCATTGGTAGTGATTTTTTCGTAGTAGTAGTAGTATTTTTTCCGCATTGGTAGTGATTATCATATAAGTGTATTGCTTTTTTGTGCAATGGTAGTGTTCTTTTTCTATAGTGGTAGTATTTCTGCATTGGTATTGTTTTCTATTTTTTTTTCATTGGTATTAATTATCATGTAATGGTATTGATTTGCATGTATTGATAGTGTTTTCTTTTTTTTTTTGCATTGGTGTTTTGTGCATTGATAGTGTTTTTTAATGGATTGGTATTGTTTTATTGTTTCTACGGTATTAGTTCGGTTGAACGAAAATAAGGAAAAAGATTGAGAAAAGGAAGGAAGAGAGATCTGGCTCGAGACTGTGGAAGTGAGAGAAAAAGACAGAAAATTGTGATTAATATATTTTGTAAAAAGACAGAAAATTGTGATTAATATATTTTGTAACTTCCTAAAATGTAATTTATTAAAAAAAGTAATTAATAAATTTTTCTCATACCCAATTTGCCCTTAGTAACCATGGTGGTGATTACTATTTTACAGTAATCACCATTATTCTTAATCTAATCTTCACCGTCAAATCAAAATTAGAGTGAAATAGAGATAATGAAGGGTGTAGATTTTAGTAGCCACTGTGATTACTCAATTTTGAGTAATCACCCTAACGCGTTCCACCTCGTCCAGACACTCACACGACTTTTTTTCAATTTTTATAATAATTAGGTGGAAAATTATTTTATTATTTTTTAATTGCCATGTCACCATGGTCAACTATGAGATTTGACTGCCAAATCAGTAAAAATTAATGGAGACTAACAGTCAGTGACCAAACTTAGATTGTTATTTGTTAACCTAATTTAAGTGACTACGAATGTAATAAATTAATTTTGGTGGCAAACGTCAACTTTACTAGTAATTTCGGTGACCAAACTTGCAATTTACCCTTAACTTATTTATTAGCCTTTTTTTCCATTAACTCTTTCCCCCATCCGATATAAAACCCCGAAAACCCTAAAGAAATATCAAGTCAGGGGCTGTCCTTATATATTAGCATATATATTAGAATCAACTCTTTCTCTCCAGTGAATATATATTAGAATCATGAGAACTAATAGTGTTGTTCTTTTGAGAAATAGCAATGGGATAAGTGCTGTTAAATTTTTACAATAATGGGTTGAATTCAAGTGTGAGTTATTCTTTGAGTATAGTGTTATATGTTATATCTATATGTAAGATGGATTTGATATAAATATATGTATATAAAATACAATTATACTTTACATATATTCTGGCTAATCCTGGCTAAATCAGATTAAAGCAGTCGATTCATTAACCCTTGACCTACTAACAAGATCGGGCCAATGGGCTAAATCGGATTAACATATTGATCTGGAGTGTCAACTTTCGGTATGTAATATATATATATAGGGGTTAAAGACACATTTGGTCACCGAGATTACTAAATTGGGACATGTTTAGTCACTAGAAAAAATTAATATCAATTTTAGTCACTCGAATTACTGGAACAGGTCACATTTAGTCACTCTCCGTTAGTCTCCATCCAACTCCGTTAATGAAATCTGTTAAGTGCTGATGTGGCAAACAGAGGTGCCTAGTCAGCGCCGTTTTGAGTCGGAAATGGTCAAACCCGACCCGCCATGTCACTAAACCCGCCATGTCATATGCCCAACCAACCCATGCACCCACCCGACCCATAAACCAAACCCAACCTTTCTGATTCCACTTCTCTTCTTCGATTCCACCTTTTCCTTTCCTCCGGAGCGCCGATCTGGTCAAGGACTACGGAATCACCACCGGCAACGTCCTCCACTTGGTCCTCAAGCTCTCCGAACTCCTCCTCATCACCGTCCGCACCACCTGCGGCAAGGAATTCGAATTCCGCGTCGACCGGTACCGAAACTTCGGATACCTAAAACACCGCATCTTCCAAGAGGGCAAGGGTTTCGTCGACGTCGACGAGCAGGAAATTTTCTACAACGGTCAGAGGCTCGATGACCAGCGCCTCATCGACGAGATCCGCGACACCAGAGCCGCAGACGCCGCTGCGGTTCACCTCCTCGTCCAGAAAACCGCCAAGGTCAGAGCCCAGCCGCTGAACAGAGATTTCGAGATCTCCGTCGCCGCCGCAACAAACCCTAATCAAAATCAGAAGCAGAACCAGAAGCAGAATCAGGAGTCGTCAATTGAGGCGCCAAATCAGGAGCAAGCTGGTAGGGATTTCTGGCTAGAACCCGTGATCGTAAACCCTAGCGTGAGATTAGATTCAGCGATTTGGAACATGGTGAATTCAACCTTCGTCGGGTTGGAAATGGGTCACCCGCCAATCCGTTCGTCGGAAGGAACAGGGGGGACTTATTTCATGAGGAACCCATCAGGGCAAGGGTTCGTATCCGTGTTCAAGCCCAGCGACGAGGAGCCTAATGCGGTGAACAACCCGCAGGGACTGCCGGTGTCGACCAACAGGGAAGGGTTGAAAAGAGGAACAAGGGTAGGGAAAGGTGCGATTAGAGAAGTTGCCGCTTACATATTGGATCATCCCATTGACGGACCGAGGGGTCTGAACAATGAAGTGATGGGGTTTGCAGGTGTGCCGCCCACCATTGTTGTTCAGTGTTTGCACCAAGGGTTCCATCATCCTGAAGGGTTCGAGTACTCTGCCAAGAATGTGAAGATGTGGTGGTGGTTGTAATTGGGGCGGAGGTGGGGGTGGTGGAGATTGGTTTCGATGTTGGAGAAGGTGAGAAGTGGGAAAGGGTTTTTTTTTGGTTTTCTGGGTGGGTTGGAAGGTGGTGGGAGGAAGGAGGAGAGCGGCGGCGGCGGTGGTTTTGGGGAAAGAATGAGGTGAGAGGAAGGAGGAAGAAGGGTTGGGTGGGGTTGGATCATGGGTTGGGTTGGTTTTAATGACATGGCGGGTTATAATGACGTGGCGGGTCGGGTTTTACTTTTGTTGGGTTATATCCGGCTGATTAGGCAATTCTGTTTGCCACATCATCACTTAACGGACTTCATTAACGGAGTTGGACGGAGACTAACGGCGAGTGACTAAATGTGTCCAGTTTTAGTAATTGTAGTGACCAACTTTGATATTAATTTTTTCTAGTGACTAAACATGTCCCGATTTTGTAATCTCAGTGACCAAATATGTCTTTAACCCATATATATAGGGATACAGCCCGCACATCAGTTATTTACTTATTTATTAACCTTTTTTTTTCCTTCCATTTACTCTTTCCCACCATCCGATATAAAACCCCGAAAACCCTAAAGAGATATCAATTCAGGGGCTGCCCTTATTCCCCTTCGCCTCGTCCTTGCCCTGATTTTCAATCGAACCGCCGGCATGTCAAACGCCGAGGACGCCGCAACCGCCGGGAGGATCATCAAGTTGAAGTGCTCAAACGGCTTCTGCTTCGAAGTGAACGAAGCCATTGCCAAGGAATTTAGCGCCTGCAAGAAATGGTCCAAGAAGGTGCTCGACGACGTCTTAACGCTCAAGAGTGTCTCTCAGCAGCATCTTGCCACGATTATCGCATTTTGCGCCAAGCAGGTGGAGTTTCGTGAGAGAGCTGCGGACGAAAGCGAGATGAATGGATTCCTCGAGGAGTACAAGAAGGGGCTCAACACAGACGAGCTCTGGGGTCTAACTAAGGCGGTACATTCCCTCGGCATCCCTTTTCTGTTCAACATGCTGAAATCGCTCATTGTTGATCGCTTAAGGGGAAAGAGCGCCGAGTTCATCCTTACCTTCTTGGGGATCGGGCGGAAGGTCAATCTTGATACTGGCGTGCGCCGAGAAATTCTTCTGTGGATGCCCGGCACTCAATTAGTCGGATTGAGCCGCGTTTCCGAGTCGGTGAGATCTCTGATTGCTATGCCGGACTTCGTCGAAGCCCATCTAAAATGCATGAAGCAGCAGCTATCGGCTCAGAAACCCAGTCACGCTGAAAGGGTATTTGGGAGGATCAAGAATTCGTTAACTTCTCGCTTCAACGGAGAGGGGCGTTCATGCTCGCTGTACTCAATTTTCGAGGACACCGAAGTTGAGCTTGATGAAATTCCGGAGTGTTTTGTCAAAAGCAGGATTGTGGGATCGGTAAATGGGCTGTTGTGTTCTGTTGGAATGTATACCGTCCATATACGGAGTCCAAATTCGGGTCATGTTTTCTCATTCCGACACTGGGACATGGAATTCGAAGCTAAAAGTGGAGAAGACATTCCATTTGGCTTTGGATATGATGGTCAGCGTGATGTTTACAAAGTGTTACAACTATGCCCACAAGCATCTAAGGTGATAGCTCGAGTTTTTGATTTGAAGACCTGCACCTGGAGGGTGATTGATGGTTTTGATTACGGCATAAAAGTAAGCAACGAGGTTGGAACTTTTGTTGATGGGTGTCTTTTCTTCCGAATGGATTCTGAAAAAATCATTGTCTCATTCAACCTTTCTACGGAGAAATTCAACATCACGCATCTGCCAAATCGTTTTAATGAGAATATGGAGTACTGGACATTAAGGCCCGTGGGTGAAAGCGTTGGTCTCTTTTGTTACGGTGACGGTTTTTGTGTGGGTTGGCTGATGAAACCTTCATCAGCGGAATGGGTGAAGACGTTCACAGTAAAGACAGATGTGCTCAACTGCAAATCAACTAGAGCGGTATATATTTCAGATACAAACAGGATTCTATTGCACACGGACCACAACCTTGTTATCTGTGACACCAAGGAGAACAGGTTTAGGTGCCCTGCCCCAGATGCTCCCGCCTATGATTTTGCTGTCATCTACTTAGATACCCTCGTTGTGCTGCCTCATACGGCGAAGATTGCAATGAAGTATGTATCATACATGCACCCATATTCTCTGTCTTTCTTTGAAGCGAGCACCTTGCTTGCCACTTTTTACATGTTATGTTACTGTTGACCAGGAAAAAAAGAGACTCTAAGGCACGCCATGAAAGCCGGATGAATAAAATGCTGGAGAATCTTGGAATTGATCCCTCCTTATCATCATATGATGTAAGTTCTTACCCCAACCAAATCTTATTCAAACATCTACAATGGCTGCCTCTAATGTTGATTTTGATGGTGGGCTGACTGCTTTGCAGGCGTTGGCAGAACTTTGCTTGATGAAAGGCTTGCCGGCACCATGTTACCTTGCCGAATTACAACCCTGTGAGTGAAAGAGTCTTAAATTCACAGCCCAAAGTCATACCAGTATGTGTATATAATTTGGTTGTTTGGGTTTACGATGAAAGGTGGCGGGTACACAGCTGCAGTGTCTTTGAAGGGCTACCGTACACAAGAGTCAGAAGAGCTACGACGTAAAAAGAAGACAGCTGGTTTAAGTAAAGCACTTGATTTAGTCGCAGAAGCAATGTTGGAGTATATAGCATGGGCGGGCATATAGCGATGTAGAAGGCATGTTTTCAACATATGCTGTTTCTGGGTAGACATGTTCAGGTACTTTTTGTTGATACTTTCTCATTGCTTAGGGGAAGCTTATGTGCTTTGCTTGTAGACGATATATGAAAACTAACTCAGTTATTGGGGTTAACTGCCAGATATGTGACACATGTTGTATGCGGATAGGGCAAAATCATGGAACAGAAAACAGAAAACATTTCTACGAAAGAAAAAAAAAATTGAAAACAGAGGATCAACCACCAAACGAAAACAGAGGTAGGAATATCATGCCGTCGTTTCAGTTCCTTGTTTCGCTCTGAAGTTGTAAGTCAGGGATCGTGAAGCTCGTTTTTTGTTGTTCATTTGTTGTCCTGGGTTTATCCAGCAGCAGGGGAATCGATACTCTATCCCTATCTGTTGTTATTCTCCCCTTACCTCTTTCAGTTCACGCTTTTATTTCTTCTGTTAACTGGAGAGTTGTAATTGGCTGTGGGCTGCTGCTAGTTTGTGATGTGCAGCAAGTCTAGTAGAGACAGTTTAGAGCAACAAGGTTTTTGCTACAGGGGATTGTGAGGTTGATTACTGTGTTCGTGGTACGATTGGTACGTAAGGATGGTTTTGCTTTGCTGTTCTTGTGCGCCTAGAAGCTTTCTATGATGTTGAATGAGGCTGTAAAAGTTTTGTTCTCTTTTGATGAATGTTTGTTTTATTATAATGAAGGGAGACAAACTGAAAGCTCGGTATTGCAGTCAATGGTATAGAGTAAATTTATGCAGTCCAATGTGCTAGGCTATATGGTCTCAGGCTAAGCTCCATGATCTGCAAATATCCCAAAACATTTTAAATTTTGATGTCTTCTGTCTTCTTTCTTTTTGTTCTTTCACCATTGGAACCTAAAAGACAAGGTATCCCAAAAGAGCTCGACATAGCAGCTGGGAACTTTCTGCTGAGGCCCTCTGCAGTTGGATTGCTGCTGCAAGACAAAGTAAAACCAAGAACACATAGACTTAATTAAATATCATTGTATGATCAATTCCCATCATGTCTTTTATACTCTGAGCTGGATTGTATGTTCCAATTTTGACTTGAATAATAAGAACACGGAGTGGTGAAATTATGCAGTTGTAGCTAGTTGCTGCAGATGTCATTGCGGGAAGCTAACATGAAATCAGAAACACTTAAGTTATAAGGAATAAACTGGAAGCCAAGATTCATATGTTGCATATGTCTGCTCCAATTGGCAAGGTATCGGTTACTTTGGCCTTCACACCTCGAGAAGTGAACCGGGCTGCCCATATTGTGGCACGTAATGCCCTTCGCTATTCTGGTATTTGTAATGTATTATTTGATTATTCTTATATGGTCTGTCTTGAGTCCGTGTAGGAGTTGTAATTGCTGTGACCCCACACGCTTATCTGGTTAATCCGGGAGGATTTCTATGACAAAAAAAAAAAAAAGGTATCCAATGGGAGGAACACGAAACTTATTGATTGCAACAGACAACCCCATATTTTCATGGCCAGCCATTCCCGAAGTCCCCCAACCCAATTGACCCCAAGGGAACTTGGATAATGTGCAAACTAAATCAAAAAATTGTGTTATGTCTATGATCTATCGTTGTTCCTTCCAATTCTTTTCGCCATCTTCCATCACTACAAGTACCTGCGCTACCATGCCATCGGACTCGCTTGCATCGACGGCGACTTGTCTCCATCGTGCGAGTCCCTCAATGGGTTCTGCATGTAGATGTAGTACACCGACAGCTTCGGCGACCTCGAGGGCAGCGACAGGATTAGACTCGTTTTCTCCGACTCCGACTTCTAGATGGAATTGATAGGTACCCAGAGAGTGGTTGCGAAATCGACATTCCCCATCAAATTCAGTAGAGCCCTTTGATGGTCCCTGGATATTGAATTGACGGAGGAGTGGTCGGATGTCCTTTTGTAGAGTTCGTCGGAAAGGGAGATCGACCAAATAAACTAACAGTTGAATGGAAGAAAGGAGGGAAAACGTCGACAGAGAATTTCCGTCCGTTTGGTCACCTGGCGGTTAGGGACCAGTTCTCCTGGGCAAATCGGTTTGGGCTCGCATTGTATAAACTCAACCAGTGCCACCTCACGTCCATGTGGACCAATCAAAAAATGCGTTACCGGTGCCGCACTTTTTATAGCGGCACTGTAGTATTAGCCATAGTACAAAACTGTATAATTATACTTGGGCCTAGCCCCAACAAACCCTCCCAATTCCCAAATAATCTACAGCCGGACCAGCTCTTTAGTTTTCCCTCCAAGTTTGGGACACAAAACTAAATAAAAGAAAAAGAAGAATACGAACAGACGTGCAAGTTGCAACAAACCTGCTGCTCGGCTGCTCCCCTCCTTTACCCGCACATTGCTCTGCCACTCCACTCCCAGGGGAAAATCCGGCGCCGTACCTGACTACCTGCCGCCGAGAAGGCTGCTCCCCTCCTTTTCCGAAGCCGTCCAACTCCAAGTAGCAATGTGGGTTCTCGAAGTCGAAGGGTTTACATAAATTACATTTTGTGGCTGTTTCTACTTCCGTATGCCCTGTAAGTGATTCTTCTTCCAGTTTGTGCAGGCAAGCCGTTTGTGAAATTGACTCAAAGAGGGATTCTTGATTGTTTTTGTCCCTTTGGCAGGGCGATCCCGTGTGGGCTATAAGCTATTAGTTCGGAGACAGTGAATTCACTAATTATTTCCTTCACAGTAGACGACAACAGTAACAGGTAAGCTAATTGGTCTTATTTACTTAGTCGTATTTAGTTAGAAACTAAGTTCGTACAGTGCAATTATGCATTAAGACATTAACATAGAATTTCATATTAGGATTTGTCATATATCATACTCGGTAGAATTTGTATCCAAATTTACTTTATTACTTAGAATCTATTGTTTGACTGCGGTGTGTATATGTTTAATTGATTATGCAGATTTCAATATATTTCATCATGACATCTTCTCAACCACCAAATAAAAAGGCGAAAACAACATTGTTTTCTTACTATCAACGTAAGGAATCAGAAACGTGTCAGACTGAAGAAGTCCCTCCTAATGAAGGTCAACCATCTTCCTCTCCAGTTCAGAATGAATCATCTACTTCTCCTGTATCCGGTAATCTACTTCTCCTGTATCCGGCAAACTATAATTTTTTTTGTTTACGATATCTAATTTTATGTTCGAATCCGGCCCAGTGCACTTCTATATCCTGGATCCGCCGCTGATTGGACTATATGGGACCAAATCGGTGTTTAGAGTGGATCACATCGTATCGAAGGTAATTCGGTTTGGTCCTTGCCCCGATGAGTTTTATAAGCATTGGAGAAAAATGAACTCAATTGATGCTTGATCGTTGCTGAGAAAAATGGTCTGTCAATGATCGCTATAGGGTGGTAGGGTACAACGTTCAACATTTTAGAGTAACACGATCAACTCTTCATTGCTCTACACAGAAGTGATGGACATTTCAATTTTCATCGCTTTCAAAGCAAGCGATCCATATTAAATGGTTTAAATCCAAGCGATAGAATTTCCACCATGTACAATCTGCACCTAATAAATAGTGTCCTTTGACACCCACTTTTGTCCACGCTTATTTCAGTTTCTCGAGCAATAGGAGCCTCCTTTCAACTTTCCCTCAACCTCACTTGAGAAGGTAAGAATAAAATTGTTTACCATGCTTGTTTTTAAGTAGTTACGCTTTGGGTTTCACTAATTAGAGTTAGTATCAATTATTCTATTGTTTGGACTCAACTAGATTATAGGATATATTGGTGTTTAAGTAGTATGTACGTTATATTACTTTGTAAGTTTAGATTATATGTCCAAATTGTATGTAACCTAAGTTATTTTAAGTTGCATATATGGCTATGGTAGAAAGATCCAGCTACTTATTTGGTGGAAAGGTTGAATCCCACATTTAGGAATGGCAATGAGGCAGGTCGAGTACAGGTCGGGTAATTTATTATGGGGCGTGGGTCGGGACAGGTCGACCCAATGGGTATGTAGTTTATGTGAAAAACATGAGAAATATTCGTTATTTTCATTAAAAAATCAAGATAGAAACCGTAATATGATAAAATGTAGTTAAATTATTGGAGAAGTTGAGCTTTTCACTTATTTACAACTTTATTATAGCTAAAATATGAGGTAATAAGAGAAAATTCCTAAGTACTTTGACTAAGATTACATATATTTAGATAAGAACATGTTGAGGGCAGGTCGGGTCAGGGCAGGTCGGGTCAATGAGATGTACCCATGCCCGGCCCGCCCGCCCCAAAACAGGCCAAACAGGTCGGGTAAAACAGGTCAGGTTGAAATTGTCATCCCTACCCACATGAATGTGGTGAATCCACTAGGATGAAGATTGACAGCATATTCACGTGGCAAGAACTCTATGATCAGTGGCGGATCTAGAAGGTGGCCACCCCGGGACACGACCCAACTCTTCTCTGAATCCGAAGCTAGTATAGCCCTTCTGAATTTTTCCGATTTTAGACATTCGGCCCAATGTTATTTTATAATAAGATTGTGTGTAACTAGAAAAATGGTTCAAATAAATATATTCAAATCACTACTCTAAATTTAGCCTAGAATTCTATCTCCAATGATTTTCGTAAAAAAAAATAATGAAAACTAAAAGTCTGAAAGTCTAAAACGTAAAAGACTGCAAGATATATTGGGTTTGTTTCCTTGAAAAATTACTAAAGCAGCTAGTATAAATAGGGATGGACACACAATACAAATTGATTAGTGATTTATTTTTCTAGTGTTGACGCTGCCCGTTTCAACGACTACTATGGAGAGAACCTTGTTAACAATGAAACTTGAGAAAAACTAATTTGCGCAACAATTGAGCGACGACTTTCTTGCCGATTGCTTAACTATATTATTTGAAAGAAAATATGCTATTGGTATGGATGTAGACTCCATTATTGATGAATACGCTAAATTAAAAACTATCGTGTACAGTTGACATTGTAAAAAACTATGGTTGTTATATTTTCTTACGGTTTCTAATTTTCTAATGGAATGCGGCCTAGTACTATACTATGTTCTGGATGTACGGCTGTCTATGATATTTGTGTCGTTTGCATAGGGGGCAGATGCTAGTTTGTAAAATTACTTACCAGTGTCCTAAAACCAGTAGAGGAGGTGTGATATACGAAGAAGTTATCTTGTCTAACGATGATGGGATTGACATGATGTTGGACTTCCTAGCTGAAAACAAGCTCGCACTTTTAGAGTTGTACATTGACTAAGGAGGGAGTTGTGGCTATCATGGTAGTGCAACATTTTCACCATGGTGATATTGCTTTAGAAGGTGGGGACAACGTGAGGGTGGTTATTCTTATGTGGGTGTGGCGATGATGCTGCAGACACGTACAAAGGAGATGATCATTCAGTCAACTACAAAAGAGGTAATTATTCGACCGGCGGTGGGAAAGATGTGCCATGGGTATAATGTGATCATTGTGTTATTTCTGCTGAGCCCATCCCATTTGTTGAGTCGCATATCCTTCGCTAGTCAATATGGGGATGGATTGACATTGAACATACCATTTAAGCATATAGACGACCTCCACAGGGTCATTCTGGATCACCCAAGGGAGTAGTGAGAGATGATGATGTTGGTGGTGATGGTCAGTTGGTCACAATGGTCCTATTGATGAGAGGTCGGGTCATCATTTGAAAGTGACGAGGAAGATGATAAAATATGGGATATGTGAGTAAGGAAGAAAACAATGAGGGAAATG